GTCTCAACAAAAAAAAAAAAAAAAAAAAAAAAAAAAAAAACCAAAGTCACCCTGGAGAGTATTCAAAAGGAACACACCTCCGTGTTGCAAAAAAAAAAAACGGACGTGTACATAACGTCAGGGAAGCCAATCAAAATTTACTATGACAGAATAATTAAGCTTCTTAATAGTGGCAACAGACAAGTCGACCTGGTCATAGATGGAGACAACAGGCAGGCAAACAATCCATACAGGCAATCCGAGGAGGACCAAGTTGTCTCCATTTATGCCGTTGGGACAAACATCCTCAGAGCATCGTACGTCCTGCAGGATGTTATTAACTTTTACTGCTCTTTTATAAGGAAGGTACAGCAGGTGGCGAGGAAGGATAAAATGGCAAAGCCCGTGGATGTTTTTTCTCTTATCAACGTTGAAGTTGGAAGCAAAACGCTACATATGAATGATACCGTGATATCGAACACGTACACGGTGAAGGAGGAGTTTCTGCAGGACGACTACGATGCTGTGATAGCCTTTGCGAGGCAGCCTTACGACCCCGTTTTGCACAAGTACAAGGAGGTAGGTCTTGCTTTGGCATACTTCCCGGGTGAGGGGAAGCCTGCGTCACACACCGCTTTGCACTACGTAACGCGGTGTATCACCTTACACCACCTTCCGCCGCATCTTCCCATCCACAGAGGACAAAGGAGCGAAGAGTTACCGGAGTCGTCATCTTGATAAAGAAGAATCCCACCATGTTGTAGATAATGCCTTCCCTTTTGGTAGGGCATCTCGTTCAATTTTGTTTTTAAAGTAATGTTTTTTTTTTTTCCCCTTTTTTTTTTTTTGTATATTCCTAATTGACGGGGGGAACGGTCCCTACAGGTGATTCTCGTCGAGCGTGGCCACACGTATAGAGGCAACTCCCTGAATGCGCCTCGAGCTGCTTTTTTCTTTTTTCCCCCATTGTTACTCGCACGGGAGAAATCACGCACAAAGGGCGAGTCCACCTTTTAGCCTCACCACAAACGAACGATTCATCCGTCGGGGACAGATAATCGCAGCGGTTAGGCGGTGACGACGCCTTTGATTAGTTATATATGAACAATTTGCATTTTTTTTAAGAGCCAAGTTGCATTGCGAAGTGCATTGCGCTGAGCTCAGTTCGAAGGAATGGAAATATAATGCTCCTTCACTTTTTATTTAAAAAAGGTTTACCTACGTTTTTGTGACAGGATTGCAATGGTTGGCGTGATCCGTTAGTTGCACACACCCATGGGGTGAGCGGCGCCTGTAGGCACTGTTACACCTCAGCGGGGAAGCAACCGACGTCAAACTCACTTCGCCAAAGGAAGGGACCAATGTATTACCAAAGAGAAATAATCAAATGGATTGAACGGAAAAGCAAACTTGAGAAAGGGAAGCGCAGCGGTAGGTACGTGCTGCTTCGCTTCAAACGGGCAGTTAGGGAGTCCCTTTTGGGGGAACTGCTCTGTGAGGTCAGTTTGGATGCAGGGGTGAAAAGCCCCGCTCCAGGGCAAAAGCTAATCACTGTTACTGCGCGTGGAATTGGTAATGATTCGCTCGGTTGGCGCGATTCGCCTGGTTCACTCGTTTCACGTAGAGACCCCCCAAAAGAGTGCATATCGAAGGAGTGCATATCGGAGCGTTTGCCAAAAGTGCATCTCCTGAAGAGAACCATACAGAACTTCTCCAACCTGCGCCGCCTACTCGGGCGCAACGACCGAGTCTATGCGGATCTGGCGCGGGTGTTCTCGCAAGAGTTACAGGGAAGAGAACAAGAGACACTTCACCGTTACGAGAAGGATGAACCGAATGATCGAATAAGCCGATATGACCACGTGGAGTACCTCCCCAGTGGGCTTCTCCAACGGGCCACCGATACGCTAGACATAGTAGACTTAGTGCACCTCTTCAACTTTTACATCTCCATTGAATGGCACCGATTCAATTTTCTAATTCTAATTTTAAGGTGCATAATCAGTATGGGAAACATGGCCGACACGAAGCAAGAGACGTGTCTTAAGTTGCTAGAATCGTGTGCCAATCTGAGGATAGAAATAGAGAAAAATCTGAAGTCACAAAAAGGAGGATCCATTTTTACGATACAAAAGGGGTCCATCCATTGGGGCAAGTTTGACCGCTTTGAGTTAATGCCAAACAGAGTGCCTTCTATACGTGTGTCACCTGGTCAGGTGAAACGACTCAGCGGGAGGTCTGTCCCCACGTGGCGACATTCACCAAAAGGGTTGCACAATACGGTCAAGTTACGGAAGAGAGGGAAAAATGCGCTCAGATCATTTCCTGTATGTCGGAGAAGCCACCATTTTCAGGAGACCTACGCTAAATGGATGAAAAGAAGGTTCAAATCAGAAATGGATGTTTGCAATGGTCTGATAGAGCAGTGTGCTTATCTCGTTTTAGGAAGATCGGGACAGCTGAACGATGCAGACATGAAGTACGTAAAGGTATTACGTCGAGGGGGGCTCTACCTAAACGGGGGTGATTCGTCAAACTCGTTCACGAACCAATTGGCGGATTACGTAAATGCCAAGTGTGAGTGTCTCCCACCAGATGAGCTCATAACCTGGGTGGATTACTTAACCAAAGCGAGAAGAGACGCGAAAAGGAGAGGGGGCACAGGGGTAGACCCCAAAGCTGGGAAAATCAAACTGACGAGAGCCATCACCCGGATCAATCAACACCTCTGCGCTTCTATTCAAAGAAAGACAAATGAGTACTCCGTGGGGGAAGTTTGCAGAGTCTTATCCTTGTGCGCGAGGAACAAACATTACGATGAGAATCTCCTGGATGGGATCACCGCATATGTTGTGGACAATTTAGATCAAGTCAGCTCGAGAAGACTCACCCGATTGGCCATAAATATCCATGACAAGCTGGGTTACACAAGGAATGAGTTCCTGTTGGCGATTGTGAATCGGTACAGGCCGCCTCCTCGGAGGGGTGCTCATTCGGAAGGGAGTAGCAAAAGGAGGGGGAAGAGGACTGATAAGCGGTGGAGCAATAAAACTGATAGGCGCTGCTTTGATAAGATCCAGACGATTCGGAAGGAGGAGAACGCCCCACCCGAAACCGTCCCCCGTAGAGACTTCCAAAGCGTAAAAATAAGACAACTGCTTCGCTTCCTGAAAGTTCTCATCAAAAACGACATACACCTGGATGAGGAATGGGCGGATTACTTCCTCTCCTTGATGAAGAAAAAATTCACGCATATCAGGAGAGGAG